CAAAAAAGATAGGCGAATTATTAATAAAGTGAGGGATAAAAACAGTGTTCAAAGAAACCCTCATACTTTCCTCTGTTATATTATCCTTTAGAGAGAAATGTGACTCATTATCAAGATCCAGCTACTACAAGGTTGTTTGCTCATGTGGTCGATCTTACGATGGTGAGACATGTCGACCTATTCAACAAAGATTGGGGAAACACAAAAATGTTTGTAAAATAAGCTGAGTTCAACGGTGATGAGACTAGTTTCTGGTCGGAATGACCTGCAGTTTCAATCTCGTCTCATCGTCTCATTGGCACTCCCAATGATATTAGATTTCGGGTCTTGAATATCGTGGCGATGATACTACTCCGCTACAGGGCCACGGATGCCAAAGAGTCACAGGGCAAGCCAAGGCCTCACATTTATAGCAAAAAGTGTCGATTGGGCAGGCATGTGTTTGCCGATGTAGTCAATAAAGTTATTTATTTTCGCTATGATTCGTTTTCAATACTATGTCTAATACTTAAATAATAAATTTGTATAGAAAATAAAGTATTTATCGAAATCACAAATGTAATTATGTGAATGGTTACTCCGTCTGAGGAAAAAGAGATATATGGCGTCATGAGGGTTGATGAGAGTGTTTGCAATAAATACTTTATCTGGCCAAGAGTAGGAAAAAGCCACTGATACTTGAGATCAAATTTATAAAGAGCCCCTGACTCAAGGCAGTTGTTCGAAGTCCGGTCATAAGATTATGGGGTGGAATACTTTTTAACCATTGAGTGAATATAGCACGAAGACATAATCTAACACTTCATGGTCTAGAAGATTGATTGAGACTGCCTACTTTGACACTTCTATCTTGCCGCAAAAACAGATGGACCAACGAGTGCATTGTATGAGTCATGAAGGGAGAGAAAGAGAGAGAGAGAGAAAGTAGAGCAGGTGCCAAATTTATGTATTCGTCGTAGACTTACGTTGAAAGTGGCAAGACCCTGGTTGAGACGTTTGCTTGTTTGCAAAGCTCCGTAGTTTGCGATGTATATAGCGGTGAAGAGAAGAATGAACAACCACCAGAAAGCTATTAGGATGCGTCCAGCGATTCTGTCCGGTGGGGTGACTGTGAGTCCATGAAAAAGGTTACCAAAGCTGACGAATAAGGATTCGTAAAGCCCATAGTTGACCTGGTTTGGGCTGATAAAGTGTAGAATAGCAAGAAAGAGGCCGACTCCAAATGCGATCAGGACCACCGCCAGCCAGACCTGCCAGGTTAGCGGCTGCAGGAAGTGAAAGAAGTAGCTGGGAGACGTTGAGGTAGCGTTGTTATAAAGAAAGGAGTCTGTGAAGAACATAAAGTTGCTCACTACTGAAAATTGATGACGCATTTCCGAATTGATGGGAATGTTGCCAATCACGATGTCAAGTTTCTGGGGTCAAGAAAGAGGAGGGGGGTAGAGTGAAATTAGAGGACCAGAAGAAAAATGAGATTCATGTTATTAACTTGGTATTAAATAACAATAGTAAGGGATAATTTCTCAAGCATTAAGAACACACTATTCGAATCTTGTTACCCAACAATAATGCCGGATAAGTGTACGTGGGATTGCCATTGCAAGGGTAATTATATTTTTAATCTTTAATGAACTATGGCAATGATCACGTAGAATAAAAAGTGGAGGGATCTGCTGGCAGTAGTAGCAGTAGTAAATAGTAACAGTCTTTAGACGCTGGCCTGCTTAGATAAAGACTATTCGTAGGTCTAGTTAGTATAAGTGTGATTTTTTCCACTCAATTTTGATGTGTTAAAATGCCCAGGATCCAAAACATTTGAAGGTTTGAAAGTGGAACGTGGAACGTGACCACTTCATGCATAAATAACCAGTAACTCTTGCAAC